CCGTGTGTGGACTAATCTCCATCTGTTCCATCTCACTCCCTTATACCTGTGGGTGGACTAATCTCCATCTGTTCCATCTCACTCCCTTCTGCCCGTGGGTAGACTCATCTCCATCTGTTCCATCTCACTCCCTTCTGCCCGTGGGTAGACTCATCTCCATCTGTTCCATCTCACTCCCTTATACCCGTGGGTAGTTTTCTAGGAGGCGCCATACCCCTGGGCTCTGCCCGCTTACAAGGCGGTAGAGCAGCAAAGTGTGTGGACTAATCTCCATTTGTTCCTTCTGTATGGAATGGAACGTCGCCCACTCGCACACGAGTGCTGTTTCCTCCTCCGGGTGTGCTCCGGTTTCCGCTCACACGCTATGAACAACTCATTCATTGGCTGAAGGCACAATTGGTAAAGAGAGGACGGTGTTTGTTGAACATCTATCCAACCATACGTAGCCAACCGTGTTATGTATGTATGTTGAACATTTTCTTGGTTTTTTCGGTAAAGTCACATAGAAGGGAAATAATAAAATAATAAAAATAAAATATAATAAAATCATTCTCACGACGTTTCGGCCACAACGCAAGCAGCCGTCCTCAGGTGAAGAACAGGTCTGTCGGGAAGACAGACGCTCTCTCCCGGCAGACCTGTTCTTCACCTGAGGACGGCTGCTTGCGTTGTGGCCGAAACGTCGTGAGAATTATTTTATTATGTTTTATTTTTATTATTTTATTATTTCCCTTCTACGTGACTTTACCGAAAGAACCAAGAAGATGAATCCCTGCAGTCACGAAAGCTTTAAATCGAAATTTATGTTGAACATCTATCACACCGTGCGTAGCCAACCGTGTAATCGAAGGTGTGATGAAAGGACAACAAACTAAACACGAGAAGGAGTTCTAAAAAGAATGAGTTTGTCAATTTAGACGATTTCAAATTGTATCATAGCTCCCAGTGGCTTGGTAACATCGGTAGGAAGAGTGTTCCAGACGGACGGACGTGGAAACAGCGGCATCTGAAAGCGCCGCGGGATGATGATGATGGTGATGATCAGGGTGATGATGATGGTATTGATGATGATGGTGCTGATGATGATGGTGCTGATGATGGTGATGATCAGGGTGATGATGATGATGGTATTGATGATGATGGTGCTGATGATGATGGTGCTGATGATGATGCTGATGATGATGGTTCTGATGATGATGCTGATGATGATGCTGATGATGATGATGGTATTGATGGTGATGGTGCTGATGATGATGGTGCTGATGCTGATGGTGCTGATGATGATGGTGATGATCAGGGTGATGACGATGATGATAGTATTGATGATGATGGTGCTGATGATGATGGTTCTGATGCTGATGCTGATGATGATGATCAGGGTGATGATGATGATGATGGTATTGATGATGATGGTGCTGATGATGATGGTTCTGATGCTGATGATGGTGATGATCAGGGTGATGATGATGATGATGGTATTGATGATGATGGTGCTGATGAAGATGGTGCTGATGATGATGGTGCTGATGATGATGGTGCTGATGATGATGCGGTGACCACCGCCTTTGTTCGATGGCTGAGCCAGAAGATAATGGTCGTGATGATTGATGATTGTGATGACGAAGCCGCTGCTGCTGCAAGGATGACCCCCGGAGTTTCGCGTGACGATGCTGATGACGGTGTATAGCTCTTTGCTGGCGAGATCAACAGCAGGGGCATCGTGGTGGTTCCATTTCGCGGCATTGGCAGCAGACGCAGCTCGGCCGAGCACTGCACGGGCATGGTTCGCATCTTAACAAGTCTCGATTTAAAGCTTTCGTGACTGCAGGGATTCATCTTCTTGGTTCTGTCGGTAAAGTCACGTAGAAGGGAAATAATAAATAACAAAAATACAACATTATAATATAATAACATAATATAATACAAGTATATAATAATATAATATAATAAACTAATATAATAATATAATATTATTATATTTCGATTTAAAGCTTTCGTGACTGCAGGGATTCATCTTCTTGGTTCTGTCGGTAAAGTCACGTAGAAGGGAAATAATAAATAACAAAAATACAACATTATAATATAATAACATAATATAATACAAGTATATAATAATATAATATAATAAACTAATATAATAATATAATATTATTATATTTCGATTTAAAGCTTTCGTGACTGCAGGGATTCATCTTCTTGGTTCTGTCGGTAAAGTCACGTAGAAGGGAAATAATAAAATAACAAAAATAAAACATAATAAAATAATTCCCACGACGTTTCGGCCACAACGCAAGCAGCCGTCCTCAGGTTGTGGCCGAAACGTCGTGAGAATTATTTTATTGTGTTTTATTTTTGTTATTTTATTATTTCCCTTCTACGTGACTTTACCGAAAGAACCAGGAAGATCTTAACAAGTCGTCAAATCGCATTTCGTTAAAACTCACCCGCGCAGAGGTCGCATTCTGGCGCAACCCGACGGAGGCTGCCATCATCGCGGGCTTCCGTTATCAATAAAAATAATCCTACGTCAGCATCCGCGTCGATGTCGATTGGCAACGCGGTGCCCCGAACGCCGCCAATACCTTCGACCAATCCGAAATCTCAACTTTTCTCGACAGAACCGCTTTGATATACTACGACAATAATAATAATCATACGCGTGTATATTTATAGATCATATCGATGGGTGTGTTTTAATGTGAACACTGAGGAAGCGTACCATACGCGAATCATCGATAGTACATCGAATTATGAAATGCGCGCTCACAGAGAACTGAATAAATACGTGAAGTTGACACCGTGACCACAATAGACCGCGTGCTTTGATACAATTGATCACGTGATTTGATACAATTGATCACGTGCTTTTATACAATTGATCACGTGATTTGATACAATTGATCACGTGCTTTTATACAGTTGATCACGTGATTTGATACGATTGATCACGTGCTTTGATACAATTGACCACGTGGTTTGATACAAATGATCACGTGCTTTTATACAGTTGATCACGTGATTTGATACGATTGATCACGTGGTTTGATACAATTGATCACGTGATTTGATACAATTGATCACGTGGTTTGATGCAATTGATCACGTGATTTTATGCGATTGATCACGTGCTTTGATACAATTGACCACGTGCTTTGATACATTCAATTCAGTCGATTGCGTGAGAGTGTGTGTGTGGTGCAGCAACACCAGTGACGATTATCTGAACCGGTCCTGGGCCTCCTCTAGCTCGACTCAGCCTGAAATGAGTACCTGGTGCGGTGTGTAAACATCGCCACTGGGGAGACAAAGGCGGTCGGGCGTGGTCCTGGCCACCAACCCCGTCGTGTACCGTTCCGGCCTTTATAGGTGCTCGCTAACAGCACTTGCCCCTACAGTCTGTTAAGGCTATAGGGAGGATCTTTGTTTTTGTGATGCTGTATGGCAGCGGTAAGCACGTGGCGCTACGAACCTGGTGACCTGAGTTCGATTGTCGCTTACGACCAACATCATTGACGATCAATTGAACTAGTCCTGGGCCTCCTCTAGCTCGACTCAGCCTCAAATGAGTACCTGGTGTGGTGGGTAAACATCGCCACTGGGGAGACAAAGGCGGTCGGGCGTGGTGCTGGCCACTCACTCCCTCATGTACCGTGCCGGCCTCCATAGGTGCTCGCTAACAGCACTTGCCCAAACAGTTTGTTAAGGCTATACGGGGGATCTTTGTTTTTATATCTGTAAATATATTATGTAACACCAGTTGACGATTGTCTGAACCGGTCCTGGGCCTCCCCTAGGTCGGCTCGGCCTCAAATGAGTTCCCGGTGCGGTGTGTAAACATCATCGCCACTGGGGGAGACAAAGGCGGTCGGGCGTGGTGCTGGCCACCCACCCACTTTGTCTTTGTTTGTACTGCGTGGGTGAATTGGACGTGTCCTTTGTGCGAGTGAGGTGTGTTTTGTGTATGAGTTCAGGTACTCGTGTGTGTGTGTGTGTGATGTGTGAGGCATGTATGGTTGGCTACGTACGGTGTGTGAAGTGTGTGTTAGAGAGAGAAAGGTGAGGGAGCCGTGTGTGTGTGTGTACACACAAGGTGTGTGTACACACAAGGTGTGTGTACATGTGTGCGGCGCCGAGGTGTTTATCCAACGTCGAAGTCGAGCCGTGCCTCTGATGTCACACGATATGAACCTGACGTGTGCTGACGACGCGGTGACGTCACAATGCAATGGACGATTAATTTGCCCTGCCCCTGGCCCTGCTTGGCCCCGAGCCAGTTTCAGACGTCTGTTTGTGATTTAAAGCGTGCTCATCAGTGTTTGGTTTCGGCACAGCTTCGGCAGATATCCAGTCGAACAAACAACAATCGTACCGTGCTGTCTCGGCTCAGATGTGCCTGTGGGGAGAAAGCAAACAAAGAAAAAACACCCGAACGGTGCTGACTCGGCACGGATATGCCAGTGGAAAATAAGTAAACCCGTAAAAACAAAGTTTTTCACTATAAATCCTTTATATGCGTGGCGGCTAGAGTCCTCTCGTCCTCTGGCTTGAGATGGCTGCCACCTATGGGTCAGATGATTGTCTGCCAGTATTAAGCAATTGGTAATTAAATATTTAATTTGTTTTCCCTAAACAGTGTAAAATTTTGGAAAAAAAATTTCACGAACATTAATTGTCTCGCACAACGAGTCTGTGTGCAAAATGTCAGCTCGATTGGATCACGGGAAGTGGGTTAAAAAACGACCGAAAGATTTGCACTGTCGTAAGCAAGCAAGCACGCAAGCAAACGAACTTAATATAAAGGATTTAAAAACACCCATACTGTGCTGGCTCGGCTCGGATGTGCCAGTGGGAGGAAAACAAAAAAAACACCCAAACCGTGCTGGCTCAGCGCGGATGTGCCAGTGTGGGGGGAAAAAAACCCACCAAAACCGTACTAGCTCAGCACGGATGTGCCAGTGGAGAAAAACAACCCACCCGTACCGTGCCGGGTCACAGCATCGCTAGTGCCCTTCGTCGCCTGGCGTCACAGAGTCGCGTCCAAATTTGCAGCACAGGATCCTGAGCATTGCCTTGCGGATCTCTTTGGTCCGCACCCCGTAGATGATGGGGTTGAGCGCCGGCGGGGCGAGGTAGAAGAGCCCTCCGAGGAGTTGTCGAGCGGCGTCCGGGATGGGCAGGTACTTGTCCACGCGATTGTAGGTGACCAGGAAGAGGACGGGAAGGTAGAAGACTGCGAGCACGAGAAGGTGGGTGACGCACGTCTGCATGGCCTTCTGATGGCCCTTGCTGGCCGCCGTGTCTCTGCTCGTTCCGCGGAAGCGGCACTCGTAGATGATGCTCGCGTAGGAGAACGAGACGGCGGCCAGCGACAGGCCCACCGTGCAGGAGGTGAGCACGAGGCCGTACACGTTGTTGGCCGTGCCGTCGCTGCACGCAAAGTTCAGAAGCTGCGGGGGCGGACGGGCGGGCAGAGGTGGGGAATCTACGTGACTCTCAGGTTGGTCATCGATGGGAAGAATCAGAATATTTATTTTACTCGTTCTCAAAGGGTTGGCTGTCTTCGCCAGGCCCAAAAAATAGTTGTTCAGTAAATATAACAATGGATCCCATTTCGATTTAAAGCTTTCGTGACTGCAGGGATTCATCTTCTTGGTTCTTTCGGTAACGTCGCGTAGAAGGGAAATAATAAAATATAAAATTAAAATCATAATAAAATAATTCTCACGACGTTTCGGCCACAACTCAAGCAGACAGAGTCTTCTCGACAGACCTGTTCTTCACCTGAGGACGGCTGCTTGCGTTTTGGCCGAAACGTCGTGAGAATTATTTTATTTTGTTAAATTTTTTATTATCATTTTATTATTTCCATTCTACGTGAATTTACCGAAAGAACCAAGAAAATGGATCCCATGTGATTTTTTCAAATTTCAATTTTGTATCTGCGATCTGAGACCACTTAACAATTTAATTCCAAAATTTTTGAATATTTCCGCAAATTCGCACAATAATTGTTGACGACTTGATTCAACTTCGAAACACAACCGCTCAATTTAAAGTTTGCGTAATTTATTTATTATTATGAGAAAGATACATTTTTTTTTATTATTAGTCTACCAGGGGACCCTCTGCTATATTTTACCATCTTTGAATTATTCAAATGTGAAAATCATAAAATGCAGATTTTTTTCGTTCAAACCCGCTTGGATCCGAAATATTTCAAAGAACAATAAAATATAGAACCCCATCAGTCGTTCTCGCTTTAATTTTATCCGCCGTCTGATGCTCTATCAAAGGAAAAAAAGAAACAACCGCATTATATTTTGAACGGTTTCTGAATGACACCAGGCACAAACGTGTTTACTGGGCACTTAAACATCGAGATTTGAGGGCCTTGAAAATTGAAATCTCAGATATTCAGATTTCTTTCTCCTGTTGTTTGTGTCCTAAAAGCTACCTGTGTAGCAAATGTCATCTTTCTACCTAGTCGAGAAGTTGCCTAGATGTTCTTTTGTGATCTACAGATTAAGGTCTTTATTTATATAGAAGATAGCTTTTTTTTTGTCCCGTGTTGTTTTGTGACCTAAAAGCTACCTGTTTAGCAAATTTCTGTTTTCTATCTTGTCGGGAAGTACCCCAGGTGTCTTTGAGACAAAGAGATTAAGGTCTTTATTTATCGGCAAGATAGACACTGTAGAATGACTCTGATGAGGTACGCTACACCGGACAATCGAATCGTTGTTTAAAATATCTTATTAAAATAGCTTATTAAGGTGCTGCGTGTGTTTTAACCGGTGTTTTACATTTGTTCGCTCTGTGGTATTGGCATAAGTAAGTGTACTAAGAGACAAAAGTAAATGTCCTTATTTGAATACAGTTACCGTTTTTACCATATACCGTACTTACCACTCCAGTCTTGAAGACTCTCCACCACGGCGTGATGTATTTACAATACGCACAGTACAGTCACGTAGAAGGGAAATAATAAAATAATAAAATAAAACATAATAAAATAATTCTTACGACGTTTCGGCCACAACGCAAGCAGCCGTCCTCAGGTGAAGAACAGGTCTGTCGGAAAGGCAGCGTCTGAATGAACAGGTCTGTCGGAAAGACAGCGTCTGAATGACGCTGTCTTTCCGACAGACCTGTTCTTCACCTGATGACGGCTGCTTGCGTTGTGGCCAAAACGTCGTGAGAATTATTTTATTGTGTTTAATTTTTATTATTTTATTATTTCCCTTCTACGTGACTTTACCAAACGAACCAAGAAGATGAATCCCTGCAGTCACGAAAGCTTTAAATCGAAATTTAGTGTTTCCATTGTTTAAGTTGCATGTAGTGTACCATGTACCGTCTGTAATATTTGACAATGAAATCAAGCGTAGCTACTTTTTTTACTCACTCGCTACACGGTGCCTATCGCCCGTCCTGGTTACAGCCTTCGGAGCGGTTTCACTGCATAACGTTGTTAGCGTCGGTGGCGGATAACCGGTCAAGCTTTGCCATTCGGCGCTTTTGCCACCTGGTGGTTGCTCCATGTACCGTGCTGGCACGGCTCGGATGTGCCAGTGGTAGTAACAAAAAAAACACCCGTACCATGCTGGCACGGCTCGGATGTGCCAGTGGTAGTAAAAAAAAAGACACCCGTACCATGCTGGCACAGCTTTATTGTGCCAGTGATAGTAAAAAAAAACACCCGTACCATGCTGGCACGGCTCGAATGTGCCAGGGGTAGTAAGAAAAAAAAACACCCGTACCATGCTGGCACGGCTCGGATGTGCCAGTGGTAGTAAGAAAAACACACCCGTACCATGCTGGCACGGCTCGGATGTGCCAGTGGTAGTAAAAAAAAGACACCCGTACCATGCTGGCACAGCTTTATTGTGCCAGTGATAGTAAAAAAAACACCCGTATCATGCTGGCACGGCTCGAATGTGCCAGTGGTAGTAAGAAAAAAAACACCCGTACCATGCTGGCACGGCTCGGATGTGCCAGTGGTAGTAAGAAAAACACACCCGTACCATGCTGGCACGGCTCGGATGTGCCAGTGGTAGTAAAAAAAAGACACCCGTACCATGCTGGCACAGCTTGATTGTGCCAGTGATAGTAAAAAAAAACACCCGTACCATGCTGGCACGGCTCGGATGTGCCAGTGGTAATAAGAAAAAAAACACCCGTACCATGCCGGCTTGACTAGAATGTGCCAGTGGAAAACAATAATAATCCGAAGTGTGCTTGGCTCGGCTCGGAAGTGCCAGTGGAAAGCATCCTTTCCTTTGGGCACACACTCACGCGGACTCTTCCACTCACCTGCACGTTATCGCACTGCGCCGCGTACACGGCCTTGGGCCTGTCGCAGTTGTAGAAGTTGAGCCTCGAGGTGAGGATGAGCAGCACGGAGACGAGCAGCGCCGACACGACCACTACGGCCGCGTTGGCCGCGGCCGCACGCCCGTTCGTCACGACCGCGTGGTAGTGCAGCGGCCTGCAGATGGCCGCGTAGCGGTCGAGCGCCATCGCCGTGAGCACGTAGCACTCGAGCGCGCGGTAGAACTGGATGGCGAGCATCTGGGTGATGCACTCGCCCACCGAGATCAAGTTGGGCGCCACCAGGTCGTGCATGATGCGCGGCAGCGTGGCGGAGCAGCCGACGATGTCGCTGATGGCCAGGTTGGCGAGCAGAATGAACATGGGCCTGTGGAGGCGCACGTCCCGGTAGATGGCGGCGCACAGCAGCAGGTTGCCGACGAGCGCCACGGAGTAGAAGAAGAGGACGACGGTGAAGACGAGCGGCCGCGTGCCGGCCGGCTCACGCAGCAGGCCAGCGATCAAGATGAGCGTGCCGGAGACGGAAGATGATGAAGATGAGTTCGAGTCCATGGTGGTGGTGATAGGCTTCCACGTACTTAGTGTGGTGGTGGTGAGTGATGGATAAAGATCGGAGATGCTGGGCGAGGTGGTGGTGGTGGTGATGGTGGTGGTAGGTGATGGATAAATTTATTATTTTATCTTTATACGTGACTTTATCGAAAGAACCAAAGAGTAATTCCTGCAGTCACGAAAGCTCCAAATTAAGTTTGATTAGCAATGCTTGGTGAGGTGGTGGTGATGATAGGTGGATGGATGGTGGTGATAGTGACGGTAGCGGTGGTGGTCGTTATGGCAACGTTGGTGATGGTGGGATCGTCAGGGGTCTCGTTGGTGGGTGGTGATGGAGATTAGCGAGACGGAGAAAGGTGGTTGCGGTGGTGGTTGTGGTGGTGGTTGTAGTGGTTTTTGTGGGGCAGCTGTCTCTGAGGTGCCCAGACTCACAACACACACTATGATCCTTCGGTCTTCACCACCACTATCATAGTCATCATCATTCTCATCCTCATCACCACGGATCACCTCTCATTGCCTTTCAGAGGGATATTTGGAGAATTCTTCCATTCAATGTCATCCCGAGATGGACATATCTTGTGCACTTTATTCATGTGCCGTGAAGATGGGCCATTGCCCGAAACGTCGCCTATAAATCCCGTTCTTTTTCAGGTCACGCACCGTGTGATTAATGAAGGATTGGGTTTTTGACGAACTTGAAAGCTCGCAAAAATACATCCTCCGAGGTTGGTGAGAAATCTGAATAGAATAAAAAAGAAACATCATCATCACAATCACCATCATCACGATCATCATCACAATATTTGTTACACGTGGATCACCATCATCATCATTACCATCATAAGATCTGTTACACGTGGATCACCATCATCATCATCTCCATCAGAAGATCTGTTACACGTGGATCACCACCATCAGCATCATCACCATCATCACGATCACCATCAGAAGATGGTGGTAATTATGAAAATGATTTCTGAGCTCAAGATGACGTGGTGAAGGTTGATCATGATTCTCTCAGATCCATCCTTGATGCCTTGGACCCACTTAAATCCAAGGAAATATCTACTGATCAATCTGCGCCTTGATTTCGTGATGGGATTCACTCCTTAAAGGTAACCGTGCGAAAATTGGAGCGGACTTGAAATCTGGTCTTAGAGTCAATTTGCAGATTTTTATAAACATCATCAGTCAATTCACGGAGATGCCTTACACCAGACTAGAGCGTGTTTCTTCTCAAATCTAATTGCGAACAATGTTCATAACCCAACGGCACTTTTTTGCTGCATTTGATCGGATGATAAAGCCACCATCTCAGCCATCCTCTTCCCAATCCAAAGATAAACGCGGTAGATTTCTCAAATTCTTCTTGGATAGAATGTATAACATCCGACACCGAATTACCTCAATCTCCTTCGCCTGCCCTTATTCCAAAACAATTCCCCGCTATCTCTGAGGACTCCATTATTTTATTTTTTCAAGGTTGCCCTATCAACCATTTCTGGTTTGGTGGCTCAGTCCCGTTCCACCTTTTGTTTGTTCGATTCCTTGCCCTACCAAATTAATTCGATAACTTTTCCATCTACTCTGCCCATTTGTAAGCAACATTTTTAATCAATCTGTCAACTCTGGAATTGTGCCTTCCACCTTCAAACGTGCAGCTGTCACCCCTCGTCGGCCTTGATTCTGAGGTTCCAAATAATTCTCGCCCACATCTCCAACCTACCCTTCCTACCCGCGGTCCTTGATCGCCTGGCTACCTTGCAGTTGAACCACCGTTTGTCCCCTCGTGAGTTGCTGGATCCATTCCAGTCTGGGTTCAGAGCCGGACACAGCACACTGAAACAGCTCTGAGTTAAAGCATTGACCCCTGCTGACTCTGGCTCGCACAGTATTCTCGCTTTTGCTGGATCTTAGTTCAGCCTTTGACACCGTCGATCGTGACATCTTGGAAAGCATCCATGGGGGTTTCAGGAACTGCTCTCCGTTGGTCCAGATCTTATCTAGCTAATCGGGAACAGTTTGTATCCATGTGAGATTTGAAATCTTCTCCCAGGCACGTGTTCATTTGGGGCTCCTCAGGGTTCAGTCATTGGCCCTCTTCTCGTTTCCATTCATATGGTCCCACTGGGTAATTTGCTCCGAAATCTCGGCCTAAAGTTTCATTGCTATGCGGACGACGCTCAAATGCCTCCATGCTCACTTTGGCGCTGGTTTCCAACGAAAGTTAGTTGCAACAAAACTTCCTTTAATCGAACGGTGTTTCAACGGAGGTGATGCTCATTGGGTCACCCCACCAACTTCACAAAGCTGCACCCTTCGACATTACGAGTGACGGTCCCGCAATCAGTTCGGCACAGGGAGTCACACATCTAGTGGGTCATCTGTGATCCCACATTGTCCTTCAAGGCTCTTATTAGAAAGAAAAAAAACATAAATACTTAATTTTTCCATCTTTGGAATATTTCCCGTGTCCAATCTTTTTTCCATGCCTCAGAAAAACTGGTTCATGCCTTCATCTCATCTCGTTATAGACATATTGTATGGTCTTAAGAAGGTCCTAATCAATGTTGGGCATGCTCAACATGGAGCTGGCTAGGATGTTAACAAGAACGCTTACTTCACATCGTATTGCACCCGTTTCGGCCTCCCTGCACTCCCTTCCAGTTTCACATAGAATAGAGTTTAAAATCCCATTGTTAACAAAGCGGTGAAACCATCTTGCCCCAGCCTATGACATGATGCACGCTCATATGTCAACCTCAAGGGCCCTAAGATCTGGACATGATGCTGATCTTCTCTCTGTATTCCCAGGTCAAAGATTCCGGTCCATGGGTGACCGAGATTTGTCCCCGTGTAGCCCCCGGGCTATGGAACGCTTTTTCACGAGACATCCATAAGTCTGTGGACATTTTTTAATTGCACATTATAACATATGTGTACGCTTCCGCTTATTTTTTTTTATTAATTGAGTAAATTATTTTTTAAAATGTATTTATAATATAACTTTTATGCCGAATGTCTGCTGGTGTTGCTGTGTAGTGTTCAGCGCTTCGAGGTCGTTGATGAAAATCGCTCTATAAATGTAGTAATTATTTTGATTAAGATCTGTTAAACGTGAATCACCGCCATCATCATCACCATCATCACGATCACCATCACAAGCGTTGTTACACATGGAACACCATCATCACCATCGCAAGATCTGTAACATGTCGATCACCATCATCATCATCACCAACATCACAAGATCTGATGCACGTGGATCACCATCATAACCATCATCACCGTCATCATCACAACATCTGTAACATGTGGATCACCATAATCTCCATCATCATCACAAGATCAGTTACACGTGGATTATCACCATCATCATCACCATCATCACCACAAGATCTGTAACACGTGGACAACCACCACCACCACCATCACCGCAAGATCTCACTCAGCCAGCCACTCACCCATTCACTCACCACCTGTGGAACCATTAGGATTCATGCACACAGTCCACATTCCCCGGCTAAAAGCGTCGGCGTAGTCGCGGTGGGTCACAGTATCGCGTGGTCGCTTGCAGATGCCGCCGCTGCTTCTGCGGCCGTCTGGAACGTTCCTCCCTTCCGATATGGGCAAGCCAGTGGGAGCTGTGTGGTGCTGCTGTTAAGTCACCGTCGTCATCGTCATCTAGATTGACGAACTCATTTCACTGGATCTGCGATTGGCACGGTTTGGCTTGAATAGGGCGCGAAAAAAGTGCAACACACACACACACAGCACGGTTGGCTACGTACGGTGCGAAAAAAGTTTAACACACACAGCGCGGTTGGCTACGTACGGTGTGAAAGAAGTTCAACACACATACACACAGCACGGTTGGCTACGTGCGGTGCGAAAGAAGTGCAACACGCATAACAACAAAAACTACGACAATTATAATAATCATAAACGATGATGATTCCTCACCAAGCCAGCAGCATCATCAGCAGCAGCAGCATCATCAGCAGCAGCATCAGCATCATCCTCATAATCATCAGCAGCAGCAGCTCTGTCTTTTATACACTCCACCTTTTCCTGATCCCCCCCCCCCTCCTCCCCGAAGCCCAAGTCCCTCGAGTGTCGGGGCCAAGTGAGAGAGCTGATGATGAGTGTGTGTGAGAGTGCGTGTGTGGGTGTGTGTGTGAGGGTGTGTGTGTGTGTGGGTGTGTGTGTGTGCACACGTGTGCGTGTGTGTGTGAGAGTGCGTGTGTGCGTGTGTGTGGGGGTGTGTGTGTGTGAGTGTGTGGGTGTGTGAGTGTGTGGGGGTGTGTGTGTGTGTGAGTGTGTGGGGGTGGGGGTGTGAGTGTGTGGGGGTCTGTGTGTGAGGTGTGTGTGTGTGTGGGTGTGTGTGTGCACACGTGTGTGTGTGTGTGTGAGAGTGCGTGTGTGTGTGTGTGGGGGGGGGGGGGGTGTGTGTGGGTGTGCGTGTGTGTGTGAGAGTGCGTGTGTGTGTGGGGGTGTGTGTGTGTGTGTGAGTGTGTGGGGGTGTGTGTGTGTGAGGGTATGTGTGTGTGTGTGTGTGGGGTGTGTGTGCGTGTGTGTGTGAGGGGGCGTGTGTGTGTGTGGGTGTGTGGGGGTGTGTGTGTGGGGGGGTGGGGGGGTGTGGGTGGGGGGGTGTGTGTGAGAGTGCGTGTGTGGGTATGTGTGGGTGTGTGTGTGTGGGGGGGTGTGTGTGAGTGTGTGTACACGTGTGCGTGTGTGTGTGAGTTTGTGTGTGTGGGTTTGTGTGTGTGGGGGGTTGTGTGTGAGCGTAGCGGTGGCGACCCAGGTTCGATTCCCGCTCACGGCCAACGCCACCAGTGACGATTATTTTAACCGGTCCTGGGTCTGCCCCTAGATTGACTCAGCCCCAAGTGAGTAACCTGATGGCGATGTGTAGTAAACATCGCCACTGGGGAGACAAAGGCGGCCGGGCGTGGTGCTGGCCACCCACCCCCTCGTGTGCCACAGTGTCGGTAGCCTTCACAGGTGGCACAGCAGTGTCACCATGGCAGTCCAGTTTACCGTGGGAGTTCAGTTTACCGTAGGAGTTCAGTTCACCACGGAAGTCCAGTTTATCATGGAAGTCCAGTTTACCGTGGGATTTCAGTTTACCATGGGAGTTCAGTTTACCATGGGAGTAATTTTCACCATGGGAGTCCAGTTTATCATGGGAGTTCAGTTTATCATGGAAGTCCAGTTCACCATGGAAGTCCAGTTTATCATGGGAGTTCAGTTTACCATGGAAGTCCAGTTTATCGTGGGAGTTCAGTTTACCATGAGAGTCCAGTTTATCATGGGAGTTCAGTTCACCATGGAAGTCCAGTTTATCATGGGAGTTTAGTTTACCATGGCAGTCCAGTTTATCGTGGGAGTTCAGTTTACCATGGGAGTCCAGTTTATCATGGGAGTTCAGTTCACCACGGAAGTCCAGTTTATCATGGAAGTCCAGTTTACCGTGGTATTTCAGTTTACCATGGGAGTTCAGTTTACCATGGGAGTAATTTTCACTATGGGAGTCCAGTTTATCATGGGAGTTCAGTTCACCATGGGAGTCCAGTTCACCATGGGAGTTCAGTTCACCATGGAAGTTCAGTTTACCATGGGAGTCCAGTTCACCATGAGAGTCCAGTTTACCATGGGAGT